GAAAAATACACTTTTGGCCCCTGAGGTGTGAAATAGATGTGTATTTCGTCGTCCTTGAAGTTTGAGAAATAGTTCTAAATGGTCATTGAGACCCTTTGACCGTTAGTTGACCTAACAGAATGCTTACATAGTAGTTAAATATTTATTGTGTGGCAATTTTAAATTAGACAGTAAAAATATACTAATTTTATATTATGTTGTGTTGATTGAACTGTTGACGTGGCTTTATCTTCTCCCTTCTTGTTTCTTCTTTCATTTCCCTCCTTCTTCCTTCTTTTTCGGCATACCTTGCCTTTGAACCGCTGCCGTCCGAAACAGTCTGCCGATAGACGTCGACAACAGCAGGCGGCGACACCAACGAAGCGAGAGTCATCGGATGAGGACAATGTAGAGGCAAGGTCTGCCAGAGAAGAAGGAAGAACGAGGGAAAACAAAGAAGAAAGGAGAAAAGAGAAGATAACTCCACGTCTACCGTCCAATCAAGACAACAAAATGTAAAAGCAACAAAAGCTGAGCATTAGAAAGAAAAAATGAGATTTTCAAAATACAACTCTGTTTTTAAAAACTATTTTTTTCAAAAAAATTTATATAAAATTTTAAAGAAATAGAAAACAGTAAATTGAATTGGTTGCCAAACAAACTTAAAAGAAAACCAAATCAACCAAATCGTTATTGAAAAACAAAATGCTTATCCATTTTATTTTTTGSTTTTTTTGCTTTTTGTTTCTTTTTGAAAAGCAGACATCTTTGTTAATAATACAATTTTCAATTTTTGGTTTTTAAAAATATTTTTCAATCACAAGTAAATTTCAAAAATAAAAAGGAAAAAGTATTTTTTAAAATTTAGTTTTTCAAAATTTATTTATTTTTTCCTCTACAAATTCTTTTCTCACTCCAAAATTTTTTTTTCCTAAATGTCTCTCATAACCATTTCTATTTTTTATTTTTGTTGTTTGAAAGTTAAAATTGTATCTTTTTTTTACCTCAATTTTTTTAAATATAAAAATATTTTCAAAATTAAAGCTAAATTTTAATAAGGGATAACGTGAGATATGACAAAAAAAAAACAAAAAACAAAAACAAAAAACAAAAAACAAAATAAACAAAATAATAAACATGTTTTGGGTTTTCAAATATAGCATTTAAAAAAAACGGAGGCCCACATATTAAATGGCAACTTTCTCCTTTATGCCCAAACCCAAGCATAAGAAACCCAAAAATAAGCCCAAAACACGGAAGCCCAGAAAACCTTAGGTTTCAATTTCCACTAATATATACTTGATATACTTTTAATTTACGACTGATATACAACTAATATACTAATGATATAACTATGAAATCTACTAATATAACTTATTATATGATTATATGATTATATGATTTACCATGTATTGAATTACCACTGATATATCTGTGATATATACGTGATATGTATCTGATTTACCACTGGTATACCTCAAATATAACCATGATATCTACTGATATAACTTCTTATATGATTATACGATTTACTATTGATTGATTTACCACTGATACAATCCTGATATATGTCTAATATATATTTGAAATACATCTAATATACAATTGATTTACTTTTGATATAACTATGATATTTACTGATATAACTTCTAATGTAGTTATATGATTTACCATTGATTGATCTATTGATATAACTTTTGATAAGAGACTTACCACTGATATAGTACTGGTATATTCTGATATATGATTTATCATTGGATTACCACTGATGTATGTTTAATATGTAATTGATATACTTCCAATTTACCAGTGATATACTTCTAATATAACTATGATATATGTGTATTGATATATAAAATTCTTATATGATTATATGATGTTCCACGAAAAAAAAAAATTGTTTTTTGAGATCTAATTTTTGGTTCAAAATGAACAACTGATGTGATTACATGTTGTTGGTATTTTATGACATGTGACTGCATGTTGGAATTGTTGGTATATACAATTGATATACCACTTATATAACTTCTTATATGGTTATATGATTTACCATTTATTGATTTATTTGATATAGTCATGATATATGTTAGATATAACACTGATATACCTAAAATATATCTTGTAATTAGTATATCAGTGTGATATACTCAACTGATATACATCCTATTAGAATAAAATGAAGAACATAAACACTTCACTAATTTAAAATAGAATGAAGAACGAGATAAACAAAAAACCTATTAAATACGGTATGAATTTCTTGGAATTCTAAAAAATTGAATCCTAGATGGCGAAGAAGAATCCCAACGATGAACAAAAAATCTATTAAATACGGCATATGTCTGATATACGTCTGATATGATATTTTGATATACCTAATGTGAGTTTCTATATGATATATGTCCGATATACTATTGATATGATATTCTGATATATCTGGATATGTATGTGATATACTACTGATATGAGTGTTTGATATATTTGAAATATAAATATATGACATACTACTTATATGAGTGTTTGATATAATTGTAATATGTATATCTGGAAAGGGTAATTTGGGAATATTGTTTTAAAATTTTGCTATATTTAAAGATGTAAAAAACGGGTGCTCAATTGTTAAATATATAAAACTAAATTGCTACCTAATGCAATTACCCTTCAAATAATTAAAGAAAGAATTTAAAAGCTTTGTTTTTGTTTTTTATTTATTTATCTTTTTTTTTTAAGAAATCAAATGTAATCCTAGAAATTTTTAAAACAATGCCAAAGGAATTGCGGGCTAACTAGCATAATTTTTTAAACTCTAATTAAAAATTAAAAACTAAAAACTAAGATTATATATTTTTTGTAATTTTCTTTTTTCTTTTTGTTTTCCAAACATGTCAATAGCTATTTCTTAAGTTTTGTTTTCTTTAAAGTTAGAGAATGGGAGAGATATCCTAGAGAGAAATATGTAGAGAAATTTTGTAGATATCAGAAAACTTAGAAAAATTTTGAGATTGAAATAAAAACATTTAGAACGAAATGTTAGAGAAGGAATATTAGATAGAGAAAGAGAAATTAGAGAAAAAAAAAGACAATTACATATATAGTATAAAATAAATATGTATCGTAAATAAACTGGCATGGTATTACTTAACACAAACAAGAGTGTCATGCACAACTACCACATTTACATTCGCTTCTAATTGCTTCAGATCCTTCTTCAACTTCCTACAGTATCTTTTGTAGTGGTCTTTCTTAGGGCAGTAAAAACATTCGATCTCTCTAATCCCACTCCTGTTATTTGCTGTTTATCTTCATACTCAACCTTTTTCCTTGCCTTTATGTTGAACCACCAGTGCTGATCCCAAAGAAGTACGTGAAACAAAAGTGGATGTAGAATTTTCACTCCCTTCCTTGCGAATCTCCTCATAAATTGCATCATCACAAATCTCTGAAAATTTCAAGCTCTTATTCTCTAAGAAATTAGCATTGACCATCTTCATCGTTTCCCAACTATTAGACAAAGAAGTCAAATAGAAGAATAGCATTCACCTCATCAGTAAAGGTGATCTTCATTGACACCAATTGATTGATCAAGTTAGTCGTTTCATTTATGTGGGACCAACGCCTTCTCACCGATGCGAATGTTTAAATATCTCCTAATATACCTTATTGTTGACAGAGCGTTTATCATATTTATTCTTTAGTGCCTCCAGCAAACCTATCGCTGTTGTCTCATTCATCACGAGACTTGCTATGTTCATCGATAAACACATTGTCTGATAGTTGCAACAGTCGCTGCCAAACTATTTCTGCCACTGAAAAACCTAAAATGCTGAAAAATACCATTTTTATAAATTGCAACAGCTCCACGGCACTGTCCCTAGCATCGTGGTGCTACAGACGCAAATCGCGTGCTCTATGCATTTGCACAGTGTTGCGACGCTATGTTGTAACTCTGTGGTGCTGCCTCCTCCGCCAAAAGGCCCCTGCAGCCCGCTTCTTCGATCCTCTTTCATTCTGTCTTCGTCTTGTCTCCGTTTTGTTGGGTTTTGACAAAATATTGGAATGAAAATTGTCCCACATTGGAAGAATACAAGGATGGTCTCCATGTGCTAGAAGTTGTCTCACATCGGAAAAGTACAATGAGGATGTGTGTTACAACTACTATAAAAGAAGTTCATGAGTTTGGGTTTTTATCATCCCAATTGAAATACTTTAAGTTTGGTATACTAGCTCTAGTTAACTGAGCGGTATTTGCTTTGAAAGAGTGTTTGTGTAATTGGGGTCGATGACAGAAATCTGTATGATTGTAATAATTTTTCACATAGTGGATTTTCCCTTGTGGGCCGTGGTGGTTTTTTCTCTGGTTTGGAGTTTTTCCACGTTAATTCTTGTGTTTTTTTTATTTTATTGCTTTCTTTAAATTTCTCAATTATTTTCTACTTATTCATACGGTAGAAGTAGGGGGTTTTTTCCGATCAAGTGGTATCAGAACTTTAGGTTTGTAGTTTCTAGAATTTTTGAGTATGCTTTGTGGTTGCAGCATTGTCTGAACTTCCACATTAGAAAAGATTTCTTGAAACGAGCTACGGTTCTGTGAAAAGTGTGGATTGTTCACTATTTACAGATTTGCTAGGAGTGTGAAGCAGATATGACATTCTTTATGAGTCCAGTGAAGATTGACGGCAAGTGCAAGTCAAGGATGTGCTGATACAATCTGGGTTACACAAGGCGTTGAAGGAAGACCGAGTGAAGTTGCTTCTGAAAAGCTAAGCAGTGATGGTGGTCCAATGGAATCTAGTGGTGGTTCCAGTAGAGGTTCTAAAAAGTCCAGCATGAGTGATGAAGATTGGGAGGAAATGGATTTGAGGGCTGCAAATGCAATACGAACAAGTTTGGCTAAGAATATTCTTCTGAATGTGTATGGAATGTCGACAGCCAAAGAACTTTGGGAGAAGCTCGAAGCATTGTATCAGGCAAAGGGCATCTCAAATCGGTTATACCTAAAGGAGCAGTTTCACACGCTGTGAATGGAGGAAGGTACGAAAATTTTAGATCATCTGAGTAATCTCAATAGCATCATCTTTGAGCTGGAGGCGATCGAAGTGAAGATAGATGACGAAGATAAAGCACTCAGGCTCATCTTATCACTTCTACCTTCTTATGAACACATGAAGCCGATCTTGATGTATGGTAAGGATCCTTTGAATTTTGCTGAGGCTACTAGTAAACTGTTGTTAGAGAAAAGAAGACTGAAGAGTGAAGGGCGTACTTCAAGATTTGACACTGGTAGCTAGCAATTGGAAGAAGAAGAAAAACTTCGTACAAAAGAAAGCTTGTTGCTGGGGATGTGGACAGTCTGAACACATGAAGAAAGATTGTTCCAACAGAGCTGGTTCGTCAAAAGGTTCTGGTGAAAGGATCGAATCCCAAGCGGAAGTGGTTGATCGCTTGTGATTCAACTTGGGTTAGAAAAGGAACGATACCGGTTTTTAAAAACAAAACGTTTCTATTAAAAAGAAGGTTAAGACTTATGGGAGGAAGAAAGTAGCTTACATTTGTAGACCGTTGGCGGATTCTCTTCCTCGAGCATGAACGTTGTGACAACACGAACAATTCTTCACAACCGAATAAAAACACTACCACGTAGCTCCCTCACTATGACTCTAGGAATAAGAACGGGATGGTGGGATCTTGGTTCTTTGAAGGAAAGTACAATGAGAATCCTGAAGTGAGAGGGGACCTTTTAGTTCTACAGCAAAAACTTGAATTAAAACACAGAGAAGTCTATGTGTTTTACTGGGAAATGATGATACCATAATTAACAACATATATATATATATATATATATAATTATATTTAATTTAATAAATTAATTAAATTTAAACCTATTTTAATTTAATTAATAATTAATTAAATCTTATTTTTTTAATTAAATAATTAAATAAACATAATTTAATTAAATCACATTTAATTAAATAAATATTTAAATCATTTTCAAATATACCAATCCCTCAAAACCTATGGTATTTAATATGAATCTAATTCACATTAAACTTTAACCTATAGTATTTAATATGAATTTAATTCACATTAAACTTTAACTTATAGTTTTAATAGAAATCCAATTCATATTATTCTCTCATAATATATAGTTTTATAATGTATCATCATACGTTATATTACATTATGTCATACACAATTAACTCAAATTTTCTTTAATTAAATTTGAACAATTCAAATTCCTTCCAAGACTTAATGTTCTTAATTATCCTTTACGAGCTAGCAAGGGGACCAAATGGACTTATAGATTAGAAGCTCCAACGTTACGAGATTAATCGGTTAAACTCATTAACCACCTTAATCAACATACGTTAACTACGAGTTACTCCACTATAAACCCGCAGTTGAACTCTTCTCACTATATAGTATTTCTGTGTCCACGGATATCGACCATTAACGGCAAGTCAATCCTTCACGAGTGTTCGTAACCACAGATGGGTCAAATTATCGTTTTACCCCTGTGTTACATATCTTGTACCTTAAGTACCGCTAATCCTCTAATGAACAACCAGGTTAAGGTCCGACCAATAACCAAAAG